GGGGGGGGGGGGGTTACATGACAGCACACAATTTACTATTAAAAAGATATTCACACTCGATGGTACATGCCTAAAATGCTAGCTTCAGGAAATTGAGACAGAAGGATTAGTTTGAGGTCAATCTGGACTATGAAATCCTGTCTCAAAGACCAGAAGCTGGAGAAGGGCTCAGTTCCCAGTACCCATATGCACAACTAACTCCAGTTTCAGATGTAACAATCTTTTCTGACCTCCAACACCAAGCACAAATGTGCTACACATTCATACATTTCAACAAAACACTCATACACATAAATATAAAACAAGAGTATCTACATAAAGTATTAATCATTGATCTCACACATTTTCCTTTTTATTCAATCAGTTTTGATAAAGCCATCTGATCATGGATCAGATGTATAATTTTATCCCCCTATAAACAAAATAAGCATGTCAATTGTGGAGTAAGTACTTGAATTTACCCAGTTAGCTAAAATATTGCTAAGACCATTTTTGGATGGGCATCAAATTGATAGTAAGGGCTGGGATTACCTGACCTGTCTCTTACACAATCTTCAGCTTCAGCCTTGAAATTTGTATACCACTTTCACAATAGGTCCTTTTTCATGTTTCATGTGACTGATGCCAGGAACTGAATATACTCTGTTGCGTACATAAGAGACACTGAAACTTTGATTTGATAATCAACAGAAAACTCCATCCCCACACTTAACGTTTATTAAAAATTGACAAACAAACAAAACCTGTACAAAAACTATCCCCCAATTCCTTATCACTTTGAAACAGTAATCTCGAAAGACATTATCGCCTAGGACCCCCTCTTCCTCTGCCGCGACCACGTCCTCTTCCTCTACCTCGGCCTCGACCTCTTCCTGCAACTGGGGAAAAAGTAAAACAAAGCAGGTGAAATTCTCTTTAATAGTCAAAGTACCCAGACTTACCCTGCCCCCTTTCCTACCCACACCTCTTAAATTAGCAGCTACAGTAAGATATCTTTAACTCAGCTTCTCTCGAACATGACCACTACCACCATCAAGTAAAACCAAGAAGGGCCAGCAGGGGGACAATTTACACACTGTGCTAGATTTCTGCTTAATGAATCGAAGCCAAGCAAGTTATTTCAAAATAAAGAAACTCTAAGTACATTATACCAAATAACAATCTAATAACACCAGAGCCTGAAAACTTGTTTGGCTCAACCATAACTTAGTACTTTAACCCACAGCCATAAACTTAACATCATGAGGACAAAAAAAAGCAAAGACAGAGAAGAAACCACAGTGCACCTGCTTGGCGTACTCAGAATTAGATGTTTATTTCTCCCCTGGTGGTCAGAATCACACTCAGGGCCTCATACAGGAAGGTCAGCCAAGCGTTCTATGACTGAGCCATAACCCCACACCCCTGGGAAGTCATCCATTCATTCATTTTAGGATATGGTCTCTGTGATGGTTTGAAAGAAAATGGCCCCCAAAAGGAGTGGCATTAATAAGACCGACGGCTTTGCAGGAGTAGGCATGTCTTTTTTGGAGGAAGTGTGTCACTGTGGAAACAGGCTCTGAGGTCTCATAGATGATCAAGCCACACCCAATGTCTCATACCACTTCCTGTTGCCTACAAGTCAAGATGTAGGACACTCAGCTACTACTCCAGCACCACATCTGTCTGCCTACCACGTCACACCATGATAAAAATGGACTAAACCTCTGAAAATGTAAGCAAACCCAATTGAATGCTTTTCCTTGTAAGAATTGCTGTGGTTGGGGCTGGAAAGAGGGTTCAGAGGTTGAGAGCACTGGCTACTCTTCCAGGTCTTGAGTTCAATTCCCAGCAACCACATAGTGACTCACAACCATAATGAGATCTGGTGCCCTCTTCTGGTGCGCAGGCAGAACACTGTATACATAATAAATACGTTTAAAAAAAAAAAAAAGAGTTGCTGTGGTCACGGTGTTTCTTCACAGCAATGGAAACCCTAAGACAGTCTCTTCTAGCACTGGTTGTCTTGAACCTCACTTTGAAGACCAGGCTGTCCTCAAACCTCTCAAGTGCTGGGATTATAGGTGTGCATTTAGTAAAGGAAGAATAGCTTCTAAAGAAATTAGGATCTTTAGATACAAAGAGTGAGATGATACAAGGCAGGAGGCTGAAAACAAACAAAAATTAAAGTTGGCATTCCTTATGGACATCAGTTAGAGTGACAGTCTGCCTCCTCAGCTTGTAAAGCTTGTCACTGCTTCCTTGACAAGCAGGTAGGAAAAAGAAGGAATCAAAAGACACCGACACAGAAAGGCTTGAGATTTAGAAAAACAGCAGCCTAAGGTGAGGACTTACAAGGACAGATTAAATCAGTGCTTTTTAAGCTATGCATTAATTTTTTTTATGAACAAAAAAGAAAGAAACTCAAGAGCATTTGTATTGTTATAACTAATTCTAGTAGTATACAACACATTTCTGGGTGGAAAGCAAAAAAAAAAAAAAAAAACTCAACATCAATATATTAAACATCTATAAAATAATTGGCCCTTTTCTCCTACTCTTTTGTTTGTTTGGTTTTTTGTTTTGTTTTCTGAGACCAAGTTTCTCTATATAACAGCCCTGGCTGTCCTGGAACTTGCTCTGTGTACCAGGCTGGCCTCAACTAAGAGATCCAACTGCCTATACCTCCTGAGTGCTGGAATTAAAGCTCCTGCCCTACCCTTACATTACTGGCTGACAACCATGTCTCCCAAAGCAGATGCTGTGGTTCCAATATGGAAAGTTCTCTACAGACTCACATGTACCAGTTGGTCTCCAGTTGGTACAACTGTTTGCCAGATCACCTTCTGCTTCCTGCCTGTGCACACAGTGTGACAGGACAAGAGTCTGCTCCTGGAGTTCTGCTTTTCCAGGGTAATGGAAAGAAAGTAACCCCTTGAACTACCAGCTAGAACAGTGGTTCTCAACCTTCCTGATGATGTGACCCTTTAATACAGTTCCTCATGTTGTGGTGACCCCCAACCATAAAACTATTTCATTGCTACTTCATAACTGTAATTTTGCTACTGTTATGAAAATGAGTACCCGTGTTTTCAGATGATCTCAGGTGGCCCCTGTAAAAGGGTCACTCAACAACCGCCCCCCCCCCCCCCCCCACACACACACACAGAGGTACAGACCTACATGTTGATAGCTACCAAGCTAGACTAAAGCTTTCTTTCCTTAAGCTGCTTTTTGTCAGGTATTTTCTCATAGGAACAAGGAAAGTAGCTCAATACAGTAGGAAACAGAAATCTTTCCATGAGAAAAACAGCTCTAAGATGACTTCCAGATCCTGAAACTTTGAATCTACTTAGTGAAGAGGCCAACTTACTTTGGAATCCTGTAGAAGCTGGGACTGGTGGAACCAGACTAAAAGACCAGTTACTTAGGGAGGCTGAGCAGGGGGGGTTACAAGTTCAAAGCTAGACTGGACTAATACCAAGACCTATTCAAAATGAAGTAAAATGGGATACAGTGAGATGGCTCAGCAGGAACAGGTGCTTGCTGCAAAGCCTGCTAACTGAAGTTCAATCCCCAGAGCCTATGTGATGGGAGGCGAACCATCTCCTGCAAGCTGTCCTCACTTCCACACACATCACGTACAGATGTGCCCAAACTCTCGGGCACGTGTGCGCACACAAGTACATAAATAACTGAACATAAAAATAAAAAAGCAGGGCCGGGCGGTGGTGGCGCACGCCTTTAATCCCAGCACTCGGGAGGCAGAGACAGGCGGATCTCTGTGAGTTCGAGGCCAGCCTGGGCTACCAAGTGAGTCCCAGGAAAGGCGCAAAGCTACGCAGAGAAACCCTGTCTCAAAAAACCAAAAAAAAAAAAAATAAATAAAAAATAAAAAAATAAAAAAGCAAAATGATGACAATGTAGTTAAGTAGTAGAGTGCTTATCTGTTAGGTATAAAATCCTAGGTTTAATCTTCCAGTATTGGTTCTCAATAAATTAAAATTACTTGTTTTATTATCACATGTGTATATGTCATTCAAGATGTGTATGTGTACACTTGAGAACATGCCACACTGTACATGTGGAAGCCAGAGTAAAACTTTTGGGATTTGTTTCTCTTTCCACTGTAGGTTTGGAGATTAAACTCAGGTCATCAGGCTTGCATGTCAAGTAATTTTCCTCTCTGAGCCATCTCAAGTGTCTTTAAAAATAAATATTTATGGGTGGTGGCAGCACACACTTTTAATCTCAGCACTCCGGAGGCAGAGGCAGGCAGACCTCTGTGAGTTCAAGGCCAGTCTATTCTACACAGCGAGTTCCAACACAGCCGGGGCTACACAGAGAAACCCTGTCTCCACACTCCCCTGCGCTATGTGTGCCCCCAAAGGAGAACAATTAATGGCCTATCAATAATAAAAACTATGAGTGTAGTTGTTTGAAAGAAAATGGCTTCCAAAGGGAGTGGCACTAATAGGAGGTGTGGCCCTGTAAGAGTAGGTATGGTCTTGTTGGAGGAAGTGTGCTACTTTGGAGGCAGGCTTTGAGGTATCATTTATCCTCAAACCATACCCAGTAAAATAGTTCACTTCATGCTGCCTTCTGATCAAGATGTAGCCAGCACCTGACTGCTTGCATACCACCATGTCCCACCATGATGATAATGAACTAAACCTCTGAAAATGTAAGACACCCCAATCAAATTTGTTTCCTTATAAGAGCTGTGGTCATGGTGTCCCTTCACAGCAGTAGAAACCCTAAGACACATAGCAACAGAATAACAGGATCTTATGAAAACTCAAAGAAGGCTTGAGAATAAATATGTGCCAATAAAGAACAAGGTCAAGGTTATTTCCCAGAAGCTAGAACAAAAAGGCACAGAGATGAGAAAAGAATCAGCTAAAAGGCCCAGTTATCATGAATCCTGAGAAGAACAAAAAGGAAATCACCAAATTTAACGTTTTCTTAGCTGTATGGGCAAGAAAATTCACAATGAATTTTCACAAAGTATCTAAAACAAGAGGAATGGGAAACTGTGCAGCCTCCAAATCCAGAATCCACTGAGGAAAAGACAGAAGAGAAGCATGGCATGGCTCTTCTCTACAGCAAACCCAGGAGCTCCAAGTATCACACACACTCATGAGTATAGACGGTCCAAGCAAGAAAACAGCCTTGTTGTTCACAAATGTACTGGAACAGTAAATGAAGATTTAAATACACCATACATAAAACACCACCACACTTACCAGCTTCCCTTTTCTTAGACTTCACCTTAGGTTCCACATCCACAAGTAATGTGTCCAGAGGTAAGCTGTCTGGTAGAATAAAGTACCGAATGTTATTTCCTCGAATGCTCAAGGTTTCCAACTGTACAGGTTCTCTGTTCTTCAGGGTCATTTTCACAGCTTTAAGATGTGTATTCATGCTGACATCTACACCTGAAGGGAGGGAAAACAGAGCAATCACCAGCATGATAAAGAAGGCAAGTTATCTTGCCACAGATGAAATCATACTCAAGGCTTGGAGAGATGGCTCAGGTTAAGAGTACTGACTGCTCTTCCAGAGAACCTGGGTTCAATTCCCAGCACCAACATGGCAGCTCACAACTGTCTGTAACTCCAAGATCTGACACCCTCACACAGAAGGTAAAACATGCAGGCAAAACACTAATGCACATAAAATAAATTAAAAAGCAAAAAACAGAATCAAGAAACTTAAAAAAGAAAGAGAAAGGAAGAAAGAAGGGAGGGAGGGAGGAAGGAAGAAGGCAAGAAGGCAGGAAGGCAGGCCAGCCAGGTGGTGGTAGTGCACACCTTTAATCCCAGGATCTCTGTGAGTTCGAGGCCAGCCTGTTCTACAGAGCTAGTTCCAGAACAGGGTCCAAAGCTACACAAAGAAACCCTGTCTTGAAATTTAAAAAAAAAAAAAAGCACTGGCTGTTATTCCAGAAGTCCTGAGTTCAATTCCCAGCAACCACATGGTTGCTCACAACCATCTATCATGAGATGTGATACCCTCCTTTGGCATGCACACATTCACGCAGACAGAACACATAAGAAATAAATACATCTTTAAAAAAGAGTATTATCTGGAATGTTAAAGTGCAAGTTTCTGAGACAGCTTAATACATACACAATGGGGTGGGGGCAATATAAACCAGTAATTTTTCCTTCATAAAAACTTTTCCTAGCCACAATACCACTGTACAGAGCTAAGTGCATGTGCAGAATTGAAGGGAATTGGATGCACTGGTGGTGTGGTTAAGTCACACCTGCAATCTCAGCATTCAGGAGGGAGGCAGAGGAGTGCTAGGAGTTCAAGGAGAGTGTGGATTACAGAGAAAGAACCTATGGGTAGACAAAGGAAATGAATGTAACAAGCTGTGAGGGAGCCATGAATACTGTGTATACCTTACGTCCACTACTTTCAGAACCGAATACTTATGCCAGGATTGGATAGTGTTTATGGCACAATCCTCCCAGTGTCACCATCATTTCCTTACCAACATTCTATCAAGCTGTTTTCGCTCTTCTTTTTAAAGACCTATGGTACCTTTTCCTATCACTAGGAACTCCCCCCACCTTCCTGAGACAAAGTCTATCTATGCACCCCAGGATGAGCTCAGACTTGTGATCCTCCTGTCCAAGTCGCCCTAGTGCTTTGTCTACAGGCAAACAACACCACACCCAGCTTAACATGTCTATTTATTTACTTAAAAAAAAAAAAACATGTATTTTAGCCGGGTGGCAGTGGCGCACACTTGTAATCCCAACCCCCCGGGAGGCAGAGTCAGGCAGATCTCTGTGAGTTCGAGGCCAGCCTGGTCTACAGAGCCAGGTCCAGGATAGGCACCAAAACAAGTTCCAGAACAGCCAGAGCTGTTACACTGAGAAACCTTGACTCAGAAAACCAAAACAAGCAGGGGGTGGAGGATGGGGGTCACAGGCCTTTACTCCCAGCACTCAGGAGGCAGAGGCAGATGAATCTCTGAGTTCAAGGTCAGCCTGGTCTACAGATTGAGTTCCAGGATAGCCAGGGCTACAGAGAAAATCTGTCTCGAAAAATAACAAAAAAGAAAAAACAAAACAACAAATCCTTTCCCCCTCCATGTCCTCCGTCTCCTAGAGACACTGATTTATGTAGGAAAGGTGGAACAGAGAGACTTAATCTCTTATATTCTAAGAACTACACATTAAGTCACACTAATCAAGACTCTCACTACCTCCATGGCAGATAGCACAATGCGATGACTGAGCACATGATCATATATGTGTGTATGTTCATGTAAGATACAGAAGTCTCAATAGTGATTGTCCACTAGAGGGAATGAGATCTTCATTAAATTTTGTTCTCTTAGTTTACTGAAACTTTCCTCCTAGGACATCCATTTACTAAGCACCTATTATGTATTTGGTGAAATTTGTGTTATGTTTTTTGTATTCCAGCTTTCATTGTTAGATTTTGACTTAAAAGAAATAAAGCAAGAATGCCATTCTGTGGGTTGGGACCAGCTGGTAGAATATTTTCTTAGCATATATGAAGCCCTGGTTTCAACCACCACTACCAAATAAAAGGGGTGTGGTAGTGTACACTTGTAATCCCAGCACTCAGGAGCTGGAGGCAGGAAAACCAGAAGGCCATCCTCAGCCATACACAGTGAGTTTGAGACCAGTTCTGCAATACATAAGACCTTGTATCTAAAAATGGGAGGGGGGGAGGGAGAGAAAAAAAAAAATCACACACCAAAAAAACACTACCACAACAAAACCCACCCTAGCTCTTCCACAATGCCCAACAGTGTTCTACAGGGACCAGACAAGATCACTACTCAGGACACTTTACCCAGGGCAGCAACTCTATTTCCTGAGATATGGTGTCAGACCATACAAAACTTAATAGGTAAGTTTATTCACAACTGCTACTATAAAGTTCTAGAACAGCCATAAAACGACATCCCATTGTGTCTCCTTGTTTACTAAAACACTGGACCTACATGAGAATAGGAACACATACTAAGGTACTATTTTCTCTTGATAATCACTTCTTCATCTTTTTTCAAGTCTTTTAGAATACCTACTATTAGCAAAGAAATTGTTCCAAAACTCAGAGGGCTGGCAAAAAATAAAGACTGACTGGGCAGCAGTGGCACGTGCACCTTTAATCCCAGCACTTGGGAGGCAGAGCCAGGCAGATCTCTCTAAGTTCAAGGCCAGCCTGGTCTACAGAGCGAGATCCAGGACAGACACCAAAACTACACAGAGAAACCCTGGAACCTGGAAGAGGGATAGGTGGCAGTAAGAAAGCAGCAGGGGAACAGGAGAGGTTGATGAAGGAAGATAAAAATACAGTAGTGTGTGTATGAAAATACCGTTATGATATCAATCATACATACATAATGAACAGACTAATAAAAATTACAGTCAAATGTGAAAAATAAAAATAAAAGTGTAAAGTCTCAAATGTATTTTGGAAGAAGCAACATTCTATGCAGAGGAACACACAAGCAAAAGTATACATACAAGCTATAAAAACAAGAGCACCTGGCAATTTGGTTTGGTTGTAGCACAAGAATATGAGGCTTAACTAAGGCCCATTCAGTAATTCAGACAAAAAGAATGAGGACATTCAACAAAACAATGCTCACTAAACAACCAAAAAACTGTCCAGCAGGTGAACATGGGGAGAAAAGCGAACATTATAGAAACAGTGCGGCCTCCTCACCTGTGATTGTTCCATGGACTTGTGTTCCATTCTTCAATTCAATGGTTACAGTTTCATGACTCAATTTCATCAAAAATCTATAAAACAAAAAGTCCTGAATTTTTACCTGTAACATTTAAAAGTCTTTTTGTGAAACTGGTAGGGTAAAATTGCTAGAGTTCAATATCTTCAAAATGTTCCTACAATTCCTATGGGGTCTGGACATTTGACCCAGCAGTTAAGAACACCTGTTACTCTTGCAGAGGACCCAGTTTGAGTCGCAGAACCCACATGAAAGCTCACAACCATCTGTATCTCAAGTCCTAGGGGATCTGGAAAGCTGTGGTGAGCACACATGCAGATAAAACACTCATACACATAAAATCTTAACAATTTGTATTAATAATGTACAGTGTGTTTAACTTTTCCTGAACTAAACTCTCAAACTTATAAAGGAACAAAGTAATAAACTGTCATCTGGCATCTGTCTACTATAGGTGTGCCCACCTTTTTGGCCTCTTTGGACCACACTGGATGAAGAAATATCTTAGGCAACATATTCTAGGAGGTGTCCAACCTACAGTCCATGGACTTTAAGAGTATTCAAATGTTTATTTGACACAATAATGTCATCTACAATGCTTGAGTTTGTGATTTTGTTTTGGGCCACATTCATAACTGTCCTGAGCTTTGGACTAGAAAATACTGGAAACCATTACAAATGAAGACAATCAAGATCCTGGAGTAGTATCAAGTGGGTGGGACACTTTTAATTCCAGCACTTGGGAGGCAAAGGCAGATGAGTCTCTATGAACTGGAGGCCATCCTGGTCTACATAGCAAGTGAGACACTGTTTCAACAAACAACAAAAAGACCCTGGACTAATTTTAAGCCACAAGAAGAAAGTAAGAATCATTATCAGTAGCATAAGTATACTAGAAATAAAGAACCTCTCTTTACTCTTCCTGCATTCTTTTTTTTTTTTTTTTTTTTTTTTAAGATTTTATTTATTTATTATGTATACAGAAGAGGGCGCCAGATCTCATTACAGATGGTTGTGAGCCACCATGTGGGTGCTGGGAATTGAACTCAGGACCGCTGTAAGAGCAGTCAGTGCTCTTAACCTCTGAGCCATCTCTCCAGCCCTCTTCCTGCATTCTTAATGAAAAGGGATATTCTTCTAACCTGTAAGCACATATGTAAGATCCAACTTCAAATAAAGCAGGCCATTCTTCAAGTGTCTAAGTGTCTGTAACACTTAAGAGCTTACATAGCAGTTTACACTGGAGATGATTCCTTAAAAATAAATATTCCAGGCTGGAGAGATGGCTCAGAGGTTAAGAGCACTGACTGCTCTTCCGGAGGTCCTGAGTTCAATTCCCAGCAACCACATGGTGGCTCACAACCATCTGTAATGAGATCTGGTGCCCTCTTCTGGCCTGCAGACATACATACATGCAGGCAGAACATTGCATGCATAATAAATAAATAAATCTTTAAAAAAAAAAATAAATAAATATTCCAAGAGCTAGATATGTCCAAGTCCACTATATGGAGATGCCAAGTATCCCACTGAATGTTTTCAACTTTTTGATATTACAAACTCATTTATGCAAGCACTCGCCAATACCAACAATCTTCCAATTTTCTATCTATGCAAAAGAATGAGTGTTGGGGGGGCATAGCAAGATGACTCAGAGGGTAAACACATTCTGCCGCCAGGCGGTGGTGGTGCACACCTTTAATCCCAGCACTCTGGAGGCAGAGCCAGGCGGATGGATCTCTGTGAGTTCGAGGCCAGCCTGGTCTACAAAGCGAGTTCCAGGAAAGGCACAAAGCTATACAGAGAAACCCTGTCTCAAAAAACAAACAAACCAAAAAAACCAAAACAAAAAACAAAAAACAAACACATTCTGCCAAGACTGAGGATCCAAGTTTGATCCCTAAAACCAAAATGGAGAGAATCAACTCCCCCTAGGGTCCTTTGACCTTTGTACACATAGTGATGCCAACCCTCTCCCCCCCAACACACACAAATAAATAATTGTAACCTTTTTTTTTCCTAAACAGGTTTTCTCTGTGTAGCCTTGGGTGTCCTGGAACTCTCAGAGATCTGCCTGCCTTTGCCTCCCAAGTGCTAGGATTAAAGAAAGGTGTGTGTCACCACCACTGATAATAATTGTAATCTTAAAAATAAAAAATTGAAAAAATTGAACCAAGCATGGTGGCACCCTTTAATACCATCAGGGAGGCAGAGGTTCTGTGAGTTCAAGGCCAGCCTGGTCTACACAACAAGCGCCAAGCCAGTCAAGACTATATTTGGAGACCCTGCCTCAAAAACAATCATCACCAACAACAAAATTAATTAAAATACTAAGTAGGGCTGACAGGATGGCTCAGCAGGCAAAAGCACTTGCTGTCTGTTCAGGCTGAAGACCTGAGTTTTAATCCCTGGGACCCTGGTGGGAGGCAAAACAAACTCCCCAAAATTGTCTTATAACGTACATGTGCACCTGTTGTGTGCATGAACACGCACTAATAATGTATTTCCTAATGAGCAAAGCTAGGAAAGATGCATGCTTGTAATCCTAGCACTTGAGGAGTGGGGGCAGAAGGAACAGGAATTCAGCCTGGCCAAATGAGACTCTTAAAAAAAAAGGGGGGGGGGTAGAGAGATGGCTCTACAGTTGGTCAATTGGTCAAGAGCATTGGCTGCTTATTCCAGAAGACCCACATGCCAGCTCAAAACTATCTGTAACTACCCTAGCTCCAGGGAACCCAATGCTTTCTTCTGGCCTCCACAGACATCAGACAAACATGTGGTGTATATACATAAAATAAGTCTTTACAATAATGATAATAAAACAGAAAGGAGGAGGAAGAAGAGACAGTGGCAATTTGCCTGTGGTATGGTATCTTTCGTGAATATAAAAAATCCGTATTTCTTAAGAATTGCTTATGCATCATTACGCACTCTCCATCAGTTTGAGTTTTTCTTTTTTATCAGTCCATCACTCATTTGACTACAAACTCCAAGTGCAGGCCACCACACCTGGCTTTTTCTTTTCCTTAAAAAATGTTATTTAAGCTGGGTGGTGGCAACGTATGCCTTTAGTCCCAGCACTTGGGAGGCGGAGGCAGGTGGATCTCTGTGAGTTTTAGAGGCCAGAATGGTCTACAAAGAGTTCCAGGACAGCCAAGGCTACAGAGAGAAAACCTGTTTTTTATTTTCTGAGTATGAGTGTTTTGCCTGTTTGATGTGCATGTGTGACATGTGTCCCGGGTGCCCACAGATGCCAAAAGAGGTCATCAGATTCCCTGGCACTGCAGTTAGACAGCTGTGGGTCCTAGGAATTGAACCTAGATCCTCTGGAAGAGCAACCAGTGCCCTTAACCTGAGTCATCTCTCCAGTCCCCTGGCTTTTTTCTATCCATTTTATTCTGTTACGACCCTTTTGGAGCTCAGGCTTTAAGTTGAGCTTTCCCACACCAGGACTGCAAAAACATTCTCTTCTTTTACTTTTACATATTTAGAAACGTAATGTAACCTACCAGGAATTCTTCTCTTTCTTGTCTTTTCTAAGGAACAAATCTGCCTTTATAATTCTCCCGTTGGACGGCAGTCTGTCCTTCATTTCATCTACTCTTCTTCTGCCCTAATTTTTTTTTTATCATGATATACTGCAAAGGAAGAAAACTGAAGGGGTGACAAACTATTAAAATGTTGCCATTTCTCCCTTTCTTGCCCTTCAGTATTTACACTTTCACCTTGTCATCTGAAAGTAAGGTGCTGGCATTAGTAAGGAACCTTAATACCACAACTGCACACTATAACTGAACAGCACACCGAGCAGACACTTCATGTTTAGACTTTAATCTCGTCTATCATTCACTTCACAATTACATGCAGTAAAGTAACTCTTAGCCAAATGGTCACAGAATGACAATTCTACAATATCATCTAACAACACTTCATATTCAAATTTTCTAGTCTATCTTCTTTTACTACAATAGCCTTTGTAAACAACTGCAGCGTCCACTACATTAAACTGCACAAGTAATATTACCTAGCCCATTCTCCCTGCCATTCTACTATGAAGGCAAGCAGCAGGCCTTTCTACAGGTAATACTGGGTTATAAAGAACACTGAGTACAGGCTCAATGTTTCAGCAACTAACGGAAACCCAACCTTAAAAAAATTATTTTGTCAAGCATGGGAGCAAAGATCTTTAATCCCAGCACTCAAGAAACAAACTGTTTCAGAAAGAAGGGGGTGTGGGAAAACAGGGTCCTTTTGTGGAGATGGTATTCTGCTAAAGAATTCCCTTAAGATATCTAGGCACAGGGCTGGAGAGATGGCTCAGAGGTTAAGAGCGCTGGCTGCTCTTCCAGAGGTCCTGAGATCAATTCCCAGCACCCACATGGTGGCTCACAGCCATCTATAATGAGATCTGGTGCCCTCTTCTGGCGTGCAAGGTTACATGGAAGCAAAATGTTGTATACACAATAAATAAATCTTAAAAAAAATAAAAAAGATATACAGGCACAGACCTTGTAATCTCAGTTACTTAGGAGACTGAGGCAGAATGATTGCAAATCTGAAGTCAACCTTGGGTATGGAGTGACTTCTAGTACAACTTGGTGACATCCTGCCTCAATTTTCCAGTGAATCCTTCATTTTGTGAATTATCTTGCTTTTATTATTATTGTTGTTGTTTTGAGACAGGGTTCCTCTGTGTAGTCCTGGCTGTCCTAGAACTTGATTTGTAGATGAGGCTGGCCTCAAATTTAGAGATCCCCCTGCCTCTGCCTCTGGAATGCTGAGATTCACAGTGTGCACCACCACACCTGGCTTTGAATTCTAATTCTCTCCCTCTCTCCCTTTCTCCCTCCCTCCCTCCTTCTCTCCAAGACAGGGTTTCTCTGTGTAGCCTTGGCTGTACTGGAACTAGTTCCATAGACCAGGCTGGCCTTGAACTCAGAGATCTGCCTGCCTCTGCCTCCTGAGTGCTGGGGTTAAAGGTGTGCACCACCACAGCCAGGCTTGAATTCTTTTTAATACAAGTGGGACATCAAAACAGTCAGGTACATGGGAGTCCATTAGTATCTAAATTCTCACCGGAAAACCAGAGAGAAATGGACAGTGAGAGGTATCTTCATTTGTAAAAATAGGAAAATTGGCAATTTATTAGATGACAGACCAATGAAGAGAAAAGTAGCCAGGAGCGCTCACTTCCTGGGTTTGGGCAAGGTGGTAACAGGATAAAGAGCCATCACAGTCCCATTAATTGATGCACAAATAAGAAGGCCCACTGAAAATGCAAACTAGTCAAACAATCATTTTCACGAGGCAAAATATATTCTCTAAGAAAAAATTGTGCACTACAAAAAACAGGACTCAGGACAAGCCATTAAAAAAAAAAAAGCACATCAGCAGGAGGTGGAGGCATGCCTTTAATCCTAGCACTTGGGAGAGGCAGGTGGATCTCGATGAGCTCGAGGCCAGCCTGGTCTACACAGCAAGTTCCAGGACAGCTGAGGCTACCCAGAGAAACCCTGTCTCAAAGCGGCGGTGTGTGTGTGTGTGTGTGTGTGTGTGTGTGTGTGTGTGTGTGTGTGTGTGTGTGTGTGTGTGTGTGTATCACATCAGTAACGAGTGAGCACTTGCCTAGGATGATGGCCGAAGGTCTAGGTAAACTCCCAGTACCATCACCCAAAAGCAGATTTATTGTAACTGAATCTTTAAATGAGAAAAGCGTAAGTTACTGCAAATACACTATAGTTCACATTAGCCAGCATGGAAACAGCAACAGTATACTTTATCCCAGTGCTTGGAAGGAAGAGGCAGGCAGATCTCTGTGAGTTCGAGGCCATCCTGGCTTACAAAGCGAGTTCCAGGACAGCCAGAGATGTTACACAAAGAAACCCACCACCAAAAAAAAGAAAAAGAAACTTCGTGAATTGTGTACAACTACTCCAAGAGGTGCCCAATGGCAGTCTAGTCAACTAAAACAGTTCTTGACTCAACAAGAAACTCAATATTTCTAATAACTAGCTTAGGCATTATACCCTGCTGCAGGCTCGGCCTCAAATCTATTTATTTTGGAAGTAATCATATCAGCAAAGAAGGCTCCACTAACCGACACAATCAGTGCAATCGGGAGAAATTAACTTGTTAACTTCTGCTTCATCCCGGGACATTGTCTTTCGTGAACCGAAAGCCTACATTAAGGAGTTACATAGTTCAGATAACCAGTCAAAAGTAAAGGAGAACCTAATCTAAAACGTCCAGCAAATCGGCGTCGTTATCTGCAGATAAAACCATGCTAGTTTTGAGTTCTCGTAGGTGCAAGTAGCCCGACTCGCAAGGAAAACCGGCCACTGTTCCGTTTAAGCCGCGGGATTCGAGGTGGGCAGAGGCAGTTCGGCCCCTCCATTCCGGGAAGCCACGCGGGGCCGGGGCGCGGCGTCCGCCAGCCCGAGCTCCGGCGGGAACGAGCAGGGCGCGGCGGGCCGGGGCGCCGGAGGCCGTTAGCAGGCCGCGCGCACGCGGCTTTCCCGCCTCCCGCGGGCACAGAGGCCCGGCTTCCCGAGCCCGCCCGAAGCCTGTCCCCGCCGCCTTCGCCGCGCCTAGGGACCCCCTCACCTCACGAGCTTCATCCTAGCGGCTCGGCCTCCTTCTGGTCCGACTGGACACGGAATTCAGGACCCCAAGACTCACAGAGGAGGCGTATGAATGGCCGGAAGAGCGCGCGGAGGCCTGCGGATGCGCGGCGAAAACGCGGAAGCCGCGCTGTCTTCCGGCCGCCGGGAGGACGGCAGCGGCCCCTAGCGACGGGAGGAGTCCTTTGCGCCTTCTGAGCGCGTGAGGCTGGCGGCAGACATCTGCAGGATTCACTTGGAAGGAAGAGAAGTTCTGAGAGAAGCTCTCCAAGACTTAAGTTTGATCCTTGGGACCCACGTGTTGGAAGCAGAGAACTCAGTCCCTCAAGTTGTCCCTAGTTGGTTTGACAACTAAGCTGAGCCAATCAGATCTTTGGACAGATGGTTTTCCTTTGGGGACATGAATTGTAATAACCCCAGAGCTACTGAGCAGCTTCTTAAAATCAGGAAAACCATTCTCAGGACAGAGTTTTAAATAAACCCTTAATTATATAGTAAGTACTTTGACAATTTTTCTTAAAAAATTGTATGTGGATATTTCAGTTGAAGTTAAATAAAACAATTCAACTCCTTATTTGTAATAACCACACTGTAACTACTCAGCATCTATATGTCTCTGATTACAGTGCAGATAATTTCCACTATCACAAGAAGTTTGGATAATACTAGTTTATTATCATATTTGTTTGAGTCTTACAATTATTTATTTACTTATTTACTGTACTCAGGAGAATGTAGTGTCAGAAAGCAAAAAAAAAAAAATGTTATCTGCACCCTCCAGCATCCATTATCTCCAATATTATGCTTTTTCCCCCCCACAAAACAGCCCTGTCCCAGTGTATGGGAACTGGTCCCAAGTGCCTGTGAGACCAAAGGAGGGAGCAGGCAGGTGGGGATTGCATGGGCCCGGGCATCAAGAAAACCACATAGGTCCTTGGGATTTGGGTTAGAAGACAGGTGTGTTATACAATAGGGCAAAAGTTATTTCAGAGCTAGGCATGGTGGTGCAAGTTTGAGGCCGTCATCAACCATATGAGCAGACTATCTCAAACATTCCCTTCCCCCTAAAAAGTGATTTCACCCAAGTCAGACTATACGTGGTTTATATCAAGCTAATATTAGATCAGAATCAGGCACATTCTTAGGCCAAGCTCTGGTCATAAAGCTTCACACACCTCTCTCATGATTTTGTCTATTTAATGCTGGGAGAACTGACCAGGGTGACTCGGGGTAATTGTAATAGTTACCACTCAATGGTTTCTGTAATGTCAAGATAAACCTACAATCCTTGATTAATATTCACGAACAATTAAATGCCTCCCCCCTTACTGCCTGGATATGTTTGGTGGTTCTTGGCCTCCAGCTCTATGGTGGTCCTGTAACAATTAGCTGAGTAGTTAATTAGAAGAGGAAACCACGAAGGAAGAGCTTGTGGGGTGAAACCTCATTCTTCTGGAATTGGTGACAAGGCAGTGGGCCCTGATGTCCTCTGGAACTTTAGAGAGAGCAGGGCTCTGTCTGTGTCCCTGTGCATGAGGAGAAGAGGCACCGCTGACCGGTCTGGAGTGAGGCACATGGAGGGAGCAGTGAAATGAAAGCTCCTACCTTAGCTGGAAAATCTCTTCCCATTAGGTACCCCTGAAAGTACAATTAAGTCTGGTGAGGTGGGTGAGGCTGTCCCCCTACCCTGACAACAGGGAAACAAGAAGGAGAGGTGGGACCCCAAAACTCCCTCAGGACTGAGTAAGTGGCTCAGTGTCCAAGAGGAAGGAATGGATCGCCCCATGCTGTATCCTGGTTTCCCTGTGAGGCCTAGGAGGTCTACTGGAGGTCTTTGTTTGATGTCCCCATGCCACTGGATACACAGGCAGTCAGCTGACCAGTTAATTCTCTAGGTGGCACTTTGAAGGCTCAATTGATGGTCAGGCAGGGTATGCACTAGCCCGCATGGCCTATTCTGCCACACATTTAAAACAGGGACCTGGAGGACTCTATGCAGCCGCATGAATAGTGTGTCCCAGCACTTGGCAATTCTGTTCATGGGCTTTCTCATCTCTCCCATGGTAACTTAAATGCCACAGCTGAGACTTCTGCCTGCAAAGTCAGGGACCCTCTCTCCACATGCGTAGGTTAGCCCTGATGTTGGGAAGCTCTGGGAGACATGAGATGGATTTTATTCTGTATCTTGAATTATAGGTTTTTGTTTTTGTTTTTTTAGCTTTTTATAGTTTTCTGGTTTTAGGGCAGCTTTACAGAGGCCCACCAGGAGGCAGATTGTAAACTAATCTATGGCTAGAGAGCCATCTGGATTATTATAATCCCAATGTGGGTCCTGATAGGAAACTCATTTGCATTCATCCTAGCCTGCTTCCAGATCTGCGGTCCACCCAATACCGGAGAGCAAGGCAGAGGTCAGATAGGCAGAGGTTCTTTGGAGTCAGAGATTCCTCAGGTTCAGAAAGGAGGGTAGGGCTGAGGCACTAGCCCTTAGAGACCTGCCCCGTGGATCAAGATGGAGATCTCACATGTTGTCATAAAAGGCTGGGCTGCATCCATACCTGACTCTGACAGGCACTAGGTCCTCAGCACCCCCCTCTAGACAGCTGGAGTTAGTGAGGATTGAGAAGCTCAGTGGACTACTGAAACACAAAGGCTCTTTACATGGGCAGTGTTGTATTGAACCCAGGCCCCACCGAGACAGGTCTCACTATGTAGCCCAGGCTGGCCTCGGATTCACAGCAGTGCCGCCTCAGCTTCCTGAATGCTCCTATCCCTGAGCACCATGCCCTGCTTCTCAGAGACCACTTACTGCAGCTACCTTGTCTCCAGGAAGTTTCTCCTACCCTGGGAAGTGTTTGTTAGTGTCGGTTTTACATTGTTACTGCTCTAAGAATGACCTAAATGTGACGAACAGGGCCTGTCTCCCCTCTAGTCCATCTATTGAACACCCAGCCCCTTCATCTACCTCCTTAATCACCCTTGACCTCCGCAGGGACACTCTTCTGTCTCTGTAATCTGCACTCCATACTTTCAAGTTCATTTGCTGCTTTGCAAATGGGGACACAGATACGGTTGGCCTGGGGAAGTGACGCTGGGGAGGTGGAGGAGCAGCAAGCAACAGGGTACAGCACAGGCAAGGCACTGGGGACAAACACCAGCAATGCCACCCTCAGGGTCCCCTCACTGTGGTGACACATGGTGTACCCTAATAATCTGTCCCAGAGGGACAAAGGATTGCCTCTGGACAGAGAGGAGACACATAGGCAAATGGCAGTTTATAAAGGTAAAGGGAGAAAGCCCATGTTAGGATGAGGTTTTTTAATTTAATTGGGCATTTACTTAGGTGAACCACAGGGGCCTTTGATTGCTGGACTTTGGTAGTCAGCCTAAGGAAGAGAAAGTGGCTGGCTTTAGGAATGTTATCTAATGGTCTTTAGCAAGGCAGAGGGAATGGGGGGAAAGGGCAAGGCCTGCCAGAGTCACATGTTTGAGAGGGCTAGTGTCCCTTCAAGGGGTCACTTACAGTTACAGGAACAGAAATGACACAAAGACAGCCATGTCACCAAAGCCCACCCCGGCACAGGTTGAAAGGATAAGAAGAAAGGCCAACTGGGTATGTTTGGTGGGCCCTGCCACGGTACGTGGCTAAGTGAACACGACATGCACAGCAGAGTTAGTGCAGGAGGGTTACCGGGGGCGGGGGGG